ACAATGGCTAGGGGCTCTGATTCCAGAAGAAAAGACTGCATCCAACACTCACCCTCCCCACTTCCTGCTCCACTAGGCAGCAGTTGGGTAACCTGGAGAAAGAAACTATAGCATGCTTGAAGGGGGAGGGTAAAATGGACATTTATTACACACAGTAGCAAAAATGGAACAAGAGTCAAATCTGCAGTGATGGTCTTTATATCAATTCTCCAAAGTATAGGCACTCAACCTAAAATAAACGTCCCTTTCTCAGTCCTGGATGAGCAATGGGATCTCACGTAGGAGAGGCTGGGATCCAGTTCATGGGGATGATGCCCAGGGAATGGCACTTAGTCTCAGTGGAGAAATGTCTGAGGACCAAAGCCTTTTGGGAGGTGTCTCCTGGATCCATCAAAAAGTCAGGAATCTCTCAGGCCCACAAGGCAATTAAGGCCATGAAGGCAAAACCAACGGTTACACAGGCCCACTTGAGCATAGGGGCCTCAGGAGCAGCTAGCTCCCTGGGCAAAATATCTAGGAAGGTGACATACAAGAAGGCACCAGCTGAAACACCCTCTAACACAGCCTTGGCTAAGCTGTGCCCCACTTCTGAGTCCCCTGTAGGCACAGCCAGCCCCAAGGCTATGCCCAGGGGGGACATGAGAGCAAATGACAGTATGCAGAACATGGCCCATCGTGGTGCAGTGCCTATCTGCACCAGCCGCAGTCCTACACTAAACACCACGGGCCCCTTGTGAGCCAGGACAGCAAGACAGAGCTGCACGGTAGTTGGTACGGTTGTCTGCAGCCCCACAGCCAGACCTTCAAACACTGAGTGAAAGGAGAGTGAGAGCAAGAGAATGAGGGCTCGAAAGGGCTTCCGTGAGAGTGAGGGTGAGGGTGAGGGTTCGTGGCTGTGGAATCCATGGATTTGAGCCTCACTCACTTCCTCCTCCTGCACTTTTGGTTTTCCAATGGCTTCAGGACAGCACTGCAATGCCAGCGACTCCAAAGAGAAGACAAAGAAGAAGCCCAGGGAGATGATGAGCCCTCCATAGGAATATTCCTTCTGGGAACAGAGAGAGGGGCTGTGGGACAGGAAAGGAAGGAAGTGCAGTGGATGGAGGTGTGGAGGTGGGATGGGAGACTAGAGAGAATGGGAAATGTGGGACTAGAACTTTAAAAAGGGTAGGTGGCCTGACTGGTGTAGCTCATTGGTTGAGCATCAACACATGAACCATGGTTGAATTCCTGATGAGGGCACATGCCTGGTTTGCGAGCGCAGTCCCCAGTAGAGGGCATACCGGAGGTAGATGATCAATGATTCTCTCTCATCATTGATTTTTCTACTTCTCTCTCTCTCTCTCCCTTTCTCTCTCTCAAATCAATAAAAATAAATTTAAAAAAGAGGGGGGGTGGTTAAGGGAATGAAGGCTGGATATGGACATGCAACAAGAATACCAGAGGGACCAAGGTTGCAGTGTCAGTAGGGTTGAAATGTGGGAAAACGATGGGGAGCATGTCTAAGGGTCTAGGGCAGTGCTCGGCAAACTGCAGCTCACGAGCCACATGCGGCTCTTTGGTCCCTTGAGTGTGGCGCTTCCACAAAATACCACAAGTGGGTGCGCATGTACAGTGTGATTGAAACTTCGTGGCCCATGCCCAGATGGCGGTATTTTGTGGTAGAGCCACACTCAAGGGGCCAAGGGGCCGCATGTGGCTAAAGAGCCGCAGTTTGCCAACCACTGGTCTGGGGAAAGAAGGAAAGAGTAAAGCCAGAGCTTTCTCTGGGGTTCCATAAACCCAAAAGTATCGGGTTGACTCCTCCTTTCCCTACAGTGTCTGAGCTGAGGAGCAGAGGGATTCCTGGTATTCCTCACGTCCTCTCCTCAAAAGGATCTGGGTATGAAGAGTCTCTGGTTCGCCTCACCCTCCAGGTTGGGTGTGAGAGATACTTACAGAAGCTGAATTAGCATCTCCAGAAGAATTTCCCCCACTCTCTGTCCTGTTCTAGAGAGGAAAAAGCAGAAATTAGATGAGGGGTGGAGCAGCTCAGCTTCCTGTCCTGTCCCTTCAGCTCCACTGCTTTCCTTACAGTCTAATCTGACCTGTCGTCATGATTCCACACAACAAAGAGCTGTCATTGTCTCTATCGTTCCATGTCCTTGGCTCCATCACTTTCCCC